TTTTCCCGTGTATACAGAGTGGTAGTAGATGGAAGACTCGATGATCCCTATACCATAGTAGTGATATCTGTAGATAGATATAAGACAATTTTCTGAAGTGACAGACAGAACGAATAGAAAAAAATAATAATATTATAAAATAATATAACCAGACAAACAAAAACAAAACAAAGAACATCATCAAAAATACAATAACATAAAATAATAAACGAATGAACTTCAAATATGAAGCAAACTTTTGACTCATAAATTTGGTTTTAAAATACCAGTCTTTATAAGCTGTATTATTTATTTTAGTATTTTAAAATTATTTGTTTATTTTGATGAAGACCAAATATCTAAACATCCTAGTATCGTATTGATTTGTTCTTTGTTGAATTGTATTTTTTTTAAAGAAAAATTACACTTAGGGGGCCTATTACTCTTAAAAAATTACTATTCAGACAATGTAAAACAACAACAAACATAATAACAATGCTTTGATTTGAATTTAAATAAGAAAGAAAACAAAACAGATAACTAATATGCTTCTTTATATGAAAATACAATGTTCGATATGTATCAAAATAAAATAAAACACAAGATACTCCGTTGTTAAAAAAAGTCTATGTTCACGAAGCCAAAAAATAAAAATAAAAATGTCAATCTTACTTCGACTGTCCTCTAGTACCAAGTCGTCTTGTGGTGACATTTTTAAACTTCTGCCTCATCAGCTGTTAATGTGTCATAATAATTATCATATATATATATATATATATATATATATATATATATATATATATATATATATATCGGCCTTTATATACATACATATATATATATATATATATATATATATATAAAGGCCTATATTTATGTATATATATATATATATATATATATATATATATATATATTTATATTTATATTAATTTAAGAATAAACATTGTAAACTTTGACAACAATCATATTTTGCTTACCTTTCCAAAAGTTGCCGCCCCTGCCGGTTTAAACCCTTGGCGTTTACAAAAGTCCAAATAATGGAGATAGAGAACACATCTTGGTAAACAAACACCTTCAGAGACTTCGTAGTTTTCTGATAACCTATACATTAGCAAACAATTAATAACCATAGTACATAGTGTTATGAAAGCCTATTCATTAGCAAACAAATAACCAGAGATCACAATGTTCTAATGGTAAACGAAAAAAATGTATAGTTTTATGCAGTGGCGTAGGCGGGGGGGGGGGGGGGTTAGGGGGGTCATAACCCCCCCCCCCCCCATAGACCCCTCGGTATATAGAAAAAGTATGAGGGGGGTGCAAATCGAAAGTTTGAGGGGGGGGGGGGTGCAAATCGAAAGTTTGTCCCCGGGTAAAAATTGGAACTCCCCCCCCCCCCCTTGAGACGATCCTGGCTACGCCACTGGTTTTATGTTAAGTGAAATGACTGAACTAATTTTTGGACTAATAGGCCTTTTTCTATAACCTGGAGATATGTGAACACACGTATTAGACAGTTAGTAGTTTTATGATAACATTGAATAGATTTATAACCTAAAACATGTAATATTTTTTTATGTCCTTATTTTAACACTAGAAAACAAAACAAAAAACGTGAGAGTTTATAGTTCTCCGATGTCCGTAACTTAAGTGAACACAAGGAAATTTATAAACAGTTGAATGACAACAAATTGAAAGTTATATTTTTCTGATCACTTAGACGTAAAAAAATAATTTTAGAAGCTTTTAAAACATACAGTTCATAGAACAGAAGAAGTAGAGGTGGTAATTTAGTTTCTTTTATTAGATTTGATAATAATTAATTATACAATTTGCTTTCTGCTGTACTATTGCACTCAATGACAATTAACAATTTAGTTGTTCCAGAAAGTGTGTGTTTGTGTATGTGTGTGTGTGGGGGGGGGTGTGGTTTACAATACGTATTTACCCACTCACAATTCAGTTAAATAGCTGTGGCAACCAACGTTCCTTAAATTCCTAGAAAATCGTTTGAAAATTTGAATCGTCCTTCAGACGTGACCCCCCTCCCCACCGTCCACTCCCCTACCCGTACATACAACCTCCCCTCCCTACACCCCCACCCCCATCAAACGCGTGTCAAACGTGTACAGATACCAGACTGGCGACAACTGTTCTTGAGACGGGCGATAACGTGGCTTAGACTCCTGCGGTTTACACACAGGGAGATGAGACTCCCCGGGGGTGGGATGGGGGGGGGGGGAGGCGCGGACTAATGCCAGGGTGGGGGGGGGGGGAGGGGAACGGACTAATACTAGGGGAAGTGTGGACTAGTGCTAGTGGAGGTGTGGACTCGTGCTAGTGGAGGTGTGGACTAATGCTAGGGGAGGCGTGGTCTAGTGCTAGGGGAGGTTTAGACTAGTGCTAGGGGAGGCGTGGACTAGGAGAGGTGTGGACTAGTGCTAGGGGAGGTGTGGGTTAGTGCTAGGGGAGGGTGGGCTAGTGCTAGGGGAGGTTTAGACTAGTGCTAGGGGAGGTTTAAACTAGTACTAGGGGAGGCGTGGACTAGTGCTAGGGGAGGTGTGGACTAGTGCTAGGGGAGGTGTGGACTAGTGCTCGGAGAGGTGTGGACTAGTACTAGGGGAGGCGGGCACTAATACTAGTGGAGGCGTGGACTAGTATTGGGGGAGGCTTGGATTCTAACTAGGGGAACTATAGACGTGCCGTCGGAGGCGCAGACTAGTTCGAAGAGGAAGAGCTAAATATTAAACACAAAAATACAGTCTATGTTATACCACAATGTAAGAATATAAAGCTATACACACTTACATACTTATTTCATAACAATTGCCTGTTGTCTCCAGATTTTGAGTTTGAAATGATACTCGCAATGTCAAGTTTTTACTTACTTTCTAAACTCTCTTGGTTTGAATAGCTAGAAAACGGACGGGACGTTCCTTTGATGTGGCGACTAATACGACAAATGGTAATACTGATACATAGTATAATAAAATATTTCATGAGATGAAAGGGGTATAGGAAGCACTAAAGTTGTGATTTTAGGGTAGGCACGTATTATTGGGTGTTTTAGACAAGGACGAACAATTTTGAAATAGCTGGCTTTGACTTCCCCAACACCGATTTAAACACTGAGATAACCACCCAAGGCGATACACGCGTTTTTTTTCTTTAGCAAAGATAACATTATAACATCAAGTCAAACAAAAAACAATTTTTCTAGTTAATCTGGTGTTTTTGTAGATTGTAGAGGCGTGTGTATGAGAGATATACGCTTTATCGTACATTATCGTAGAGCAATTCAGTATCGCAGTATAGTAACGCATTGGGTTTCTTTCTGACGGTATCGTTGTTAGAGTTTGGGTTAGGTTATAACCTGGGCGTGGGTCAAGATTATAGTGCTTGTTATGGCTAGCGTTATGGTTGGGTTATGCCCACGCTTTTGTTTATTTTCCTCTTTCTAAGTGGGGTTATAGAAGGAATAATCTCGAGTTCGAATCCGGGTTCGAGTCAGTAGAACGTCACTTAGTCGGCCAAGCTCTGATGGGTACCTAACGTATATTAGGGAAAGTAAAGGTAGCTTGGCAAAGTGCTGTCCACACTATCCCTTTATATGCCGAGGTCAGGAAACATGAGCTCTTCTTCATCTGCCCAATTGATTGTTAGGTCTAAAGAGGATTATTTACTTCTTTTTAATCCTCCCATTAAGTATTACGTATCGACATAAGGCTCGCTGACTCCGATTTCGCCTGCTTTTATTCTGGATTTGCTTCCATAGCCTTTGTCCTTCCCAAAACAAACTACAAGGCAGCAAGTGTTTGAATTTGGAGTTGTCTCTCTTTTAGATGAGTTACTGTTACTAGGATCCTTATTTGTCCGGGGTTCGGACTCCGATAGTTTAAAATTAGCAATCACACGCTCTCCTGCCAAACCACAACGTTATAATTAACAATTATTTCAGTGCAAGGATTAGGGTTGATTTTTACCTATGGCTAGGGTCACGATTTAGTCTTTGATTAGCGCTAAAGAATTTTTAACATTTATTTCTAGAACTTTTGTTGTTTTAATTAGCTTAAAAAGTCAAATGACCAGTGGTTCTTAAACTGGTTTCTATCGAACCCAAGGGTTTCGGTGAGCCACTCTCAAGGGGTTTGGTGGAGATCAAGACACACACCCGACTCATATGATTCAAGATGGGATTTTGTCGGTGCGGAGGATTACTATTACTATTACGAAGGTTTCGGTGAATGCGGATATGAAACTAGTGGGTTTCGGTGCCTCAAAAAAGGTTAAAATCCTTATCTATACAGTACTTTCTACAAGCAGGTTCTAAGGTAGTCGGGCCGCAAAGTCTGACAATAATTAATGGAGTGACACCAGAACTGAAAGTTGTAAAATATTACAGAGAAAAATTTATGTTAGTAAAAAAATAGAGTTAAAAATATATTTAAAAGCTTAAACAACACCCAACGGGCTGTAAGGGGTGTGTGTGTAGGGGGGTGGGGGTGGGTGGTCGACATCCCAAATTATCGCACCAGGAGACACACTGCCTAATGATATTTTTTTGAGACTATGAAATAAAAAAGACGATCTATTTTTAATTTACAGTGGACACATAAAACAATAACCTCGAATCACCTGGACAGATGGCGTACGTATGAGGAGAAACGATTTGTCCTTATCTGATCTTCTGCTGGTTAATCTACGGGTGAGGGGGGGGGGGGGACTGTAAACAAGACTGGGGACATTTTCATCGCGGTGGTGGAACTACGGTGTCGTGGACCGCCGGGTACATCAGAGGTGGAAGCAGTGTTTCTTTCAGAAATTTTTCTTATGGCTGGGGGATGGGAAAACTTGAAACATTTGTGGGGTGGCTGTCTCCGAAGAGATGCCTGAAAGAAACACTAAACACTACATCTGTTCATAAATAGTGTTACAAACTTAATATGTTTACTGAATCAAACTATATTTTAAAATTATTTGTTTTATACATTCGCCATGATTGTGATCTATAAAAAGATATTATAAAGTGGTTTTCATGTTTCTTTCATCGTTAACTATCTGCGCTCTTTGGGCATACAATTTTCAATATATTTAAAGAGAAAACACTAAATATCTCTGGATAAAATACGTCTAAGACAATCAGCTTTGTATTTTATCGCCTATTAATTACGTTAAAATCCGCGCTTAAAAATAAGGCAAAAAGAATAATGATACAGTTTTTCAATATGCATTAGCATTGTACATTGTAAATATCATTTTTGAAAAAAAGTTGTTGTAATATTTTTCTCCACAATAGTCTAATAACCAAGTCTCCTTATCCTGTCTTAAACCTACTTCAGGAATTAAAATTTACGTTTGAACTGAAATTTAAAACAAGTGTGGTCCTTAATTATAACTACATGAACATATGGGGGCCCATTGTCTATAGCTAACACCCAGCATAGCTAGATGAACATATGGGGGCCCATTGTCTTTAGCAAACACCCACCACAGCTAGATGAACATATGGGGGTCCATTGTCTTTAGCTAACACACAGTATAGCTAGATCGACATATGTGTGTTTAGGGGAGGGGGGAGATCGTCTCCATCCAAAATTTATTAAGAGCTAAATAGCCATTCAAAGATGGACTTTTAAAGGACACATTGTCTCGAGTCAAGTTTCATAAGAGCAGTAAAGTATAATATAAAGTATTTTTTTTTTATAAAGTAAATATTTACTATTTTTTTTAATGTAAAAGAACTGTAATTAAAAAATATTTCAAAAGGCGATTACTTGTTTATTTAGTTTATTTTAAAAAAATGCAAATTTAATATTATGCATATTATTATATATTAAATCTATTTGTTCCGTTTTTGTTGTTGTTTGTATTTGTTGTTGTTGTGTTTTATGATGTAGCCTATTCTTCACGAGTTACCGGACCTCCCGCTAGTTACATGACATAGCAAAAAAAAACAAAAAAAAAAACACGGTGACGTGTTTTCAAATAGTGAATAGTCGCCCCTGTTATCAGGCTCCGCGAGACCAAGAATTAATCACCAGCCAGAGAAATATTTAATCAGCTCTTCTGGCTGGGCGGCGGAATGCTGTCAGCAC